GAGAGAGAGAGAGAGAGAGAGAGAGAGAGAGAGAGAGAGATATTTAAAAATAAAAATAGTTTGAAGCCACAGTGGGGAAAGGGAGGTTGGCATCTCAGTGTGCATCTCTAACCCCAGCACTTAAGAGGCAGAGGCAGGTAGATCTCTTTGAATTCTAAGCCAGCCTTGTCTACATAGCAAGTTCTAGGCCAGCCAGGGCTACATTAGTGAGATCCTGTTTCAAAACAAACAAAATCCAAAGGTTTTTTTTTTTTGGGGGGGGAGCAGTAAATACAATTAAATGTGAAATTAAATTTTAAATTTTAAGTCAAATGAAACTGTAAAAGTTATGCTTCCCAGATAGAAATTAATCAATGCTTACACTGATTATTATTTTAAAAGTAGATGAGGAATGGTCACAAAGTTAGCAAATACTGAGGAATGAGAGGAGAGATCTCAGACACCTGATCCTAATATAAAAAAAAAACCCTAAGGCCCATCCTATGCCATTCTTCTAAGTTCCGGTCTAGAAATGCTGGGAAGAGTGTCTGAATCCATTATAGAGACAGCCTAATAGGCTGTTTAAATATTTATAGTAAGTGGCTTGACTTATCTACTAAAGTGGCATTCTAAAAATAGCTTGTAAACTTGTCTATCAAATGACCTGCCACAGGAAAGACTGTACCTCAGTCTCAAGTTCCTTGTCCTGGTTTTCAAGGCCACCCAGAGAGTGGGGCAGCAAGACAGCAGAAACCACTAGAGGGATTTTAAACAAGCCAAATCAGGACTCAGAGGTTAAGAGCACCTGTTGCTGCTCTTCCAGAGGACCTGGCTGAAATTCACAGCACCCACAAAGCAGCTCACAATCCTTTGCAACTCTAGTTCCAAGGACCCATCGCCCTCTTCTGGCCTCAGGGGGCACTACTTGCATGTGGTACATGAACATGCATGCAGGCATGCGTTCATACCCATGAAAGTAAATAATCTTTAAGATAAAATAGACAAGTCTAATCACTTATGGCTTACAGTGGAAGGAGGTACATATTTTTTCACAAGTAAGTTGGTTAGTGAGTAAAATTGATTTTAAGTGTTAAATCAAAATTTCTATTTCATATCATCTGTCAGTAAGTTGTACACAAGTCACTGGGTTAAGGTAAGGCTTAGAGGTTAGATGACGGCTTCCATAAGAACTGGTCTACCTTTCCGAAGCACAGAAGTGGGAAGACTGTGGAGGGCAAGAGCTAGAAAGAACTCCCTCGGCCACTACTGCAAGGTGAGAGGGAGTCCTCTGGCAATCTACCAGGCTGCTGGAGGCACTGAAAGATACACCACAAAAAGAAAGAAGAGAAAAAAAATCACAGGTCAGTTCAATGCAATTTCCTATCACTACTTCAGCTGCTCTCACCAGAAACGAAACCATTCGGCTGTTAATCAGCAAAGGGCGAGTCTATGTTGAGATAAGGAGGAAATCAACATGAACTTTCTTTTGAAACAGAGTCTCCTGTTCCCCAGGCTGGCCTCAAACTGGCTATGTGGCTGAGGATGACCTCTTTCCTCTACTTCCTGAGTGTGGGGGCTGAGGGGGAGGTGGGGGATCGCAGGCATGGACCACTGTGCCTGGTTTTACCCTGGGATGGGGAGTGAAACCAGGACTTCACATGTGCTAGGCAAGCACTCCACTAACTTGAGCTACTTCCCCAGCCTTCAACATCAACTTTCCGGGTCTGCAAAGACAGGAAAGTGCCAAAAGACCCATCTGGCTTCCCCTTTCATCCTGTGCCCTTAGTTAGCCAAGACATGACCGCTCAAGTCTAGCTGAAGCTGGGCGCTGAATCAAACTACATGATCTAAAGACATGAACATGGCTTCTGTCTATCGCCCCCTTAATAAAAACACATCACTCTGGGTGAGGACATAAGTATCTACTAAACCTAATGAGTGATCCATTTGACAGCAGTCACACCATCTGATGCTATCAGTACCCGGGACTCACGTTTTACATTCCTCGGGTTAATGAATAGGCTTTTCAATGGATTAGCAGTTTCTGCGTTGTTTCCTCCCTAAATCACTGTTATCTCTTCGTGGGGGGTCATCTCCCCTGAACCAGGACAAGAACACATCAGGTTCCAGGCATCTTGGGGATGACCTGTCCTGTACAGTGAGCCAGGTGAAACTGACATGCTCTGGGGACGAAGAGTGAGTGAGTCACTGCCCTTAAAGACTTATAAGTATCTCACTAATGTTTTCGCTTTTGTTAGTTTGGGGTTCCTTTGTTTTGTTTTGTTTGTTGGGACAGGGTTTCTCTGTGTAGTCCTGGCTGTCCTGGAACTTGCTCTGCAGACCAGCCTGGCCTGGAACTCACAGAGATCCGCCTGCCTCAGCCTCCTGAGTGCTGAAATTTGTGTGCCAGCACAGCCCAGCTCGAAATATTTCACTAATGTTTTCAAATGGACTAATCTACAAAATATAGGTCAAATGAAACGTACCTTTGAAGTAATGTTTTTATAAAGGTTTATTTTATTTTTATTTGTATGTGTGTGTGCACCATGTATGCATAGGTGTCCACAGAGACCACAAGAAGGCATAGGATCCCTGAAACAGGAGTTGTGAGGCACCTAGAATGTGTTCTAGGACTCAAGCTCAGATCCTCTGGAAGAGTGAGAAGCAGTCTTCACACCTCTGAGCCATCTCTCCAACCCCAATTACACCAATTTAAAAAAAAAAAAAACAACCAAGCACACGTGGTGGTTAAGTGTTAACTGTCAGCTTAGCAGGATCTGTAATGACCTGGGGGATGGACTCCTGGTCATGACTGTGGAGGATTATTTTGATTTGATCAACTGGGATAGGAAGATCTACCCACTGTGGTGGCACCATTCCCCATGGGATACTGGACTCTATGAATGGAGACAGGGGGCTGAGTGATGCCATGCATTCACCTCTCTCTGCTTCTTCCCGATGGTGGATGCTATAGGACCAGCTGTCTCAAGCTCTGCCTTGACCTCCCTGCCATGACAGACCAGACCCTTGAACTGTGAACCAAAATAAACTGTTTTTTTCCTTAAGTTTCTTTTGTCAGGGTATTTTATGACAGCAACAGGAAAAGAAATTAAAACATGATGTCTAGCAGAAAACATTTAAACTACATACATGTAGCCAAGAGTTAGGTACCATCCCTTGGTAGACCAACATTTCCTGTCAGTCCGAGCTGGAATCAGGCATGGGACACATTACACTTCCGCCCATGGTGCTGACTGCTGCTGCCTCGTTCTTAGGATGATGCTGAGCAAACTGGAGCCAACAGGGGGCGCTTTGACAAGACTGACAGTCCATGCCACAGTCCCAGGGTGGGAGCACTTTCATTCTAAACTACAGGTAAAGCTACAGCATCAGGCAGAACACGCCAAGGATGCCAGAGCCATTTCGTTTCTCAGCTTCTTTTTCACTATTTCCACATCCCAAGCATCCTGAGCCAGTTAACAACCTGTCCTCCACCTGCCATGACATTTCAAGCTGTGGTCCCACAGAGGCCACAAACCATTACCATGCCAAAGATTTGCCTGCCACCCAAGAACCAACCAGTTTTCACCCTGGGATGGGGTGAGCCTGTGCTGTGGAGAACACAGGATTTAGACCCATGTCCTTCCTGGATTCTGGGCAGAACCACGCCAAAGGCCATCCTGTTCTCAAAGGCATAGGTGGCATGGCTCTGAAAGTGTCTGGAGTTTTCGGGAAAGTCACTAGTACTCCATGCAGCTGCAGCTCACTTCTCAGGTTCACGTGGGCACTCCAGGACAAGTGGAAATGGCATTTCAGGGAAGAGTGCAGTCCTGAAGCCAGCAGTGTGGATTAGCTGTAGGCCAGCATCCCCTGCACG